GAGTTTCGGATGAGTTTTGCAAAGGAAACGTTTGCTGGTGCAATACCAGTGCTAGTGCTCTATTGCAGATCTCACAATCGCGAGGTTTGGCTCGCAATTGCGAGCCTCGCTTTTGCGAAGAAACCTTCGCATTTTCGAGCATGGGCTGGGTTGGGTAAAACTCGCACTTGCGAGAAATTTTTCGCATTTGCGAACTGTGGACTTTCACGTTAGGAAGTGGTCGCACTTGCGATCATTGACCACTAGAGTCTACTTCGCATTTGCGAAGCTTTTGGTCGCATTTGCGATGGTGGTAAGTTCGCATTTTATGAACTAAATGTCGCATTTGCGCTGTTCGCAATTGCAAACAAGACTTCACAATTGCGACATCCGCAGCAGGGTAAACGAGGGGAGAACGGACTTAGCTTATTTCCCACAATTCTCAACCTTAAACACTCTAGAGGCGATTTTCCAAGAGACTTTTCTTCCCAAATTCATTGGTAAGTGACTTTAATCTATTTTTAGTTACCCATTACATTTCATGAGATTTCAATATCAAATTTAGAATTTCCATGCTAGAAACTAGGGATTTGGGTAGAATTGAAAATTTTATAAAATTGAGATTTAGACCTCGAATTTAGGTCAAATTTCGAAACAAATCACATAACCGGGCTCGACGGTGAATGGGTAATTGGGTTTTGTTCGAATCTTGAGTTTTGATCAAGCGAGCCCGAGGTTGACTTCTGTTGACTTTTTTCAAAAATGATCAATATTGAACCTCTTTTTTGTGGGTATTTTTTAAAACTTATTTTGAATCATTTGGTCAATAATTTGCTAGATTTGGTTGGTTTGGAGGCTTGTTCAAAAGGCAAGACCGTGGTTGATTGATTACTTGAGATGCGGAGTGAGGTAACTGTTGGGTCTAACCTTAATTTGAGGGAATTAGGAACCCTTGAACTACATGTTATGTGAATTACGTGGGAAACGACGTATATTCGAGGTGACGAGTGTATATGTGTCGTTATGTTACGTGCTTCCATATTTTTGTTACTTCATAGTGTATCTTGTTACATGCCTTAATTGCTACATATTTATTTGACTTCCATGCCATAATTGTTACTTGTCATTTTGGTTATCCATGTATAAAATTGTCCATCCCTTCCATAATTCTATGCTTATTTGTTGCTTGTCTCTATTTACTTTACTTACATATTTAAATTGTCATATGTCTTACTTGTCTTATTGTTTTGTAGAATTTGTTGCCTTCTATAGCATAATTTCATTTGTATGAATTGTTAATTGGTAGATATCGATGAGTTGGTAAAGTTGAGACGCTCGAATTATTAGAGATGCTTGGATTATTATGTGATTCTTCATTTCCTCGTATATTTACCCTCGTGAAGTAGAAATTCTTTTAAATTTTAATTGTTGAATTGCTATTGTTGATTGAAATTGTTTGGGGAGCGGCTTGTACGGCGCAACGGAATTGAAAGGTAATGAATTAAAATAATGGAATAAGGACGGATTATGATGTTGACAGATGATGATATAGTGGGATCGGGTTGCGCGTCGCAAACGGATTGTATACGTTGTATTTGTTTGTGACTGTTGGAGTTGCCTCGGTATTTGAGATGAGTTTATAAGACTTGTTATTCTGGACTCTTTGTTAGTTGGATTTTTGAGCTTGTTGTTATGAGTTATGGACTCTCTAGTGACCTGCCTTAGCCTCGTCACTACTTCGTCAAGGTTAGCTCGGCATTTACAGAGTATATGGGGTCGGTTGTACTCATATTATACTCTGCACTTCTTGTGCAGATACCGGAGTTGGTCCCAGTTGCGTTGAGTGAGGTTTGCTCGAATCTAGATATCAGTGAAGACTTGAGGTATAGCTGCACGACATTCGTAGCCTTGAAGTCCTCTTCTACATCATTTTTGCTGTTTACCTTGTTTCAGACAGTTATGTTTTGTTCAGAACATTACTTGTAGTACTCTAGACGCTCATGTATTCGTGATACCAGTTCCTGAATTTGTATTTGGATTTCGTCGCTTGTTAGTTTATTCACCAAATTTTAGACTATTCAGTTTTATTGTTGTCATTTAATTTGGAATTGCTAACGCTGGCTTGCCTAGCAAGTGAAAATATTAGACGCCATCACTCCGATAATGAAAATTCCGGGTCGTGACACAAAGGGTCTTGAGTTTCATTTACAAGGTAATTTGGCAAAATTAAGTTCAAAAAGTATCATTGACTAGGTTTATGTAGAAACTCGCTAAAAGGTGATGACTACATGACCTAGTGATATTCCGCATTAACTAACTCTATGTAACTACTAACCAGAATTAAGCCTCATTATTATAAATGATCGATGCTAATTTTATCCTACAATCTAAACTAAAAACATTCAACTAGTATTGTTAATTTTGTTAAGTATTTCATTTGCACAAAATTTGGATGTTTCTTCCTTCTCTTTTTTAAATAAATCATAATCATTATTGCCTAGAATTAAGCTTCATTATTTTAAATAAATCGTTACCACCATGAACTGAAATGATATACGTACCATCAGTCTTGAAGAATATATTTCACATATCAGAACTAGTTATTCGGATGTGCTATATCAGTTTTGGGGCTCGATTAATTCGGATTTATTCCGTATCAAAGGCGGGTACTTATTTAGAATTCAAATTCAAGATATCTAGTTAAGGTTTGAGAAGTACTTATGACTCATGAACTAAAACCTTTAAATGGTAAAACTAATGATTCATTGCACTGGAATATCATTTGGCTGAATACATATAAGACACTTAAAGTTGCTATGATTTTTTTTTAGACACATAACTAATCCTTGTTCAGATTGAACACTTGTAGTAGCCCCAAAGTGTACTGATTAGGCATATTCCGCACTGGGTTGAAAATACCTCATGCTCGTGTTATGCAGAATAATAAGCCAATTAAATTATTTGGGGTGAAGCATGAACCTAAGAAGAAGTTTGAAACGTAGTCTAAAACAGTTGTTAAAATGGCTTGTTCCAAATGTAACCAACGCTTTAATTAGCTAATTTTTCCACATAAGGAGCTCATGCAGACACGTGCTTTCACATTTTAGCGTAAAAGATGAACCTAAGAAGAAGTTTGAAAAAACTCTCCAAAAGGAGTTGTGAAAATGACTTGTCCCAAGTGTAATCAACGTTTTAATTGGCTAATTATTTCACGTAAGGAGCTCATGCAGACATGTATTTTTACATTTTGGTGTGAAAGATGAACCTGAGAAGAAATTTGAAGATGCTCTCCAAAAGAATTGTGAAAATAACTTATTCCAAGTGTAATCAACACTTTAATCGGCTAATTATTTCATATAAAAAGCGCTTGCAAACATGCGCTTGGGATATTTTTAATCAGTGCAAAATGTGTGTAATTAGTATACTTTGAACGTGTTTAATCGAAACAAAACTTAATTAAAGAGTCTAAATGAAAAATCACAACTTTAAATGCCTGTGTTATGCATTCAGCCAATACCATTTTGCACATGCCAACTAGTGACAGACATAAATATTACTCCATCTGTTTCAGTTTATATGAACCTATTTTCTTTTTGGTCAGTTCCAAAAAGAATGACCCCTTTCTAAATTTAGAAACAATTTAGCTTAAACTTACAATTCGACCCTTAATGAGAAGATTTTATAACCACACAAATACTCTAGACCCCTTTTTGACTTAGGACCACAAATTCCAAAAGTCTTTATTTTTTCATAAACTTCGTGTCCAGTCAAACAGGTTCACATAAATTGAAAGGGAGGAAGTATTTAATTGAAGAGACGATTCAACGTTAGACCCACCACCTTGCACGCAATTAAAGGAATTTTGAACACCTGTCCTACAAGAACAGTTCGCATCCAACGTGGCACTATTATTATCCCGTTAATGATACGCACTAATTTTTTCACATTATTTTATTTCATTGCTACAATTAACTCACTTTGTTTTTTCATAAAAAGCGAAGGTCCTGCTAGCTTCCATGATTGCCTTAATAACATGCTTTACAAATATTATGCTCTCTAGTCCACATTATCTAATGTCTTTTTTTTTTAAATTCTAAAATAAGTACTGTATTTTACTTAATAAAAAAAATATTAATTTTATTGTTTCAAGTTTACCCTTATTTACCCTGATTTTCAAAAAGTCTTTCTCAATTATAATTTCCTATAAGTACATTATTTAAAATGAATTCAAATACTCCCTCTGTTCCAGTTTATGTGAACTTATTTTCTTTTTGGTCCGTTCCAAAAAGAAGACTCCTTTCTAGATATGGAAACAATTTAGCTTAAACTTCCAATTCTATCCTCAATGAGAAGTTTTTATAACCACATAAATACTCTGGATCCCTTTTGACTTGTTTAGGACCACAAATTCTAAAAGTCTTTATTTTTTCTTAAAATTCATGTCCAATCAAACAGATTCACATAAATTGGAACGGACGAAATAGTATGTTTCGAGGCGTCGGAAACTGAGACGATAAATCTTCATTTACAAGCTGGAAAAATGATACACTTTCACATATCAAAAAAAAAAAAGAACAAAACACAAATACGAATAAAGTCCTCGAATTGTTCCCCCAACTTTGTATGTGTGACAAAAACTATCATCAACTTTTGAAAAAAAATAACTATAATCAATTGAGTACAAAGAATATCATCCCGATCTAACGATAATCTAATCTACTCTTAAGTTGGCTACTGGCACGCTGTCCGTTGATGCATCTCACATCGTACGGATGACGTTATGCCACGTCAGTTAAGTTAAAAGACACATCACATGGCACGCACGCGAGGGACTGTTATATCTGGGGTAGGTATTAACCCCCTAGATTTCCAGAAACTTCTAATGAATTCGTGGCTTACAACAGTAGAGCTCCCAGTATCGAACACGTGTCTTTCTGGGACCAGTAAGATCCGACGTGGCACTATGAATTAACCTGTTAATGATACGCCCCCGATTTTTTACATTATTTTATTTCCACCACCTCGATTAATTCAATATCTTAAAACTTCATCTTCTAGTAGCTTCCAGTTGCTTCTGGAACCAAAATTTTACAGAGAATGTTGTACTTCGATTTTCCGAAGCAATGAACGGAAATGGTGAAAGAGAAAAGGAAGAGGAGAAAATGGAGGAAGAGAATGATGAGGAGAAGAGGTATAAGTTGTTAATGTGGGGATATCTTCCCGGAGTATTGACTCATAAGTCGCCGTTAACTTCTCCGGTGGCTGTTCAGTCGCCAGAGACCGGCATTGATGTTCAATCGTGGAAGGATGTTTGTGGTGGAGGTTGTGGTTTCGCCATGGCCATTTCAGGTTATATACGTATTTTTGTTTTCTACGAATTTGTGTTCCTACAAGAACTTTTCTCTATGTTTACGGATTTATGAATTAGAAAAAGTAGATCTCTTACTTCTAGCTTTGTGTGGCAAGCTTTCATTGATATGCATATAGTGAGATCTGCGACTATGAATGTTGGTAGCAAGTTTGACTTAGATCTTAGCAAGTTAGACGTGAATTTTTCCTCGTATTAACGTAGTCAATCAATAAAAGAAAGTTAATTTGGAATAGCTAAATGTGACGATTAGGTAGACGCCGACCTATGTGAGCTTTCATTTTATTTGTAACAGCGTCACATTGGTTGAGGTTATGAGGCTTCGATAGAGTTAAGTATTGGTTCTGAGTTCTAGAAAAGGCAGCCTATTGGGTTCTAGATAAATTATTTATACATATTAAGTGGATTTTTTAACATAAATATAGGGTTTGATCCTAACATAAATACATGGTTTGGTCCAAGCCTACTCGGTGCTGTAGAACCCCTAAGTAGAAGTAATATATACTTGGCCGATTCCCCGGCATTAGGATAGGTTTTTTTAATATGTTCTTGCCAAATTCAAATATTTTTTCGATAGGACATTAAATACATCTTTGAAGTTAGACATAGGAGCTATGTTGCTCGAACTTTTCTAAAATATTGTCTTAACCGTATTAGATCCTCCAAAAAAGCACTGCTTTTTGAGGATCTGACATGCATTCAACGTTAATTTTTTGGAAAGTCCGAGCAACATCGCCTAAGAGTCCTAAAATCTTAATGAAATGAGCTTGGTATCCATGTGTTAGAGGTAGAAAATGGCCTCTATGGCCTATCTCGTCTTTTGGTCAGCTTCTTAGTCTCTCTTAGTCCTTCTGGTGTATGACACATACCTCTATATCTTTTTCTATTTGTAGTTAGGGGACTTTTGCTTATGGTTGAGGGCATGAGTTTTTGGGCATAAGCGGTTGTCTGATTATATAGTGTTGGTTAAATTTGTGGTTGAGTTAGGTCAAAGGTCCATTTTTTAATATGGTAGCAAAGTTAGACTCATCTCTTATTTTTGGTTTACCTAATGTTGAGCCCTATCTTATTTTGTACATGTTTTAGTCATCCTCCCGTGTGTAGGCGGGTGTCAATCTCATATTGGTTGAGGTATGAGTTGTTGTCCCTTTATTTGATCTTAAATAAATCTCACCTCATGACTTCCCTCAAGACGTGTTCTATGCGTGCTTGGTTGTTGGAGTGAGTTTTGAGTCTTCCTTGTCCTCACATAGATGCCATAGTGTTGGTCATGCAGTTGATTATCTTACAAGTAGAAGACAATTCATTCTATGAATTCAAGAAACCATCATTCTTGTAATACTCCTAACCATATACCATGGCTAATTTAGCTTATACAGTTAGATTGTTCCTACATCCAGATAAATAGTGCAAACTTTAGGTTAATTCTCTACCTTGACCGAGAATTGAAAGCTCTAACTGTCTCCCAACGGGGTCGACATCTATCGAGCGAATCCATAAAAGCATGCAAAGGCACTTGGCAAAGGGGCTTTAGGTTTCCCTGTGCCACCATGCAAAGGTGCTCTTGCTTGTAATGCTCCTAACCATATACACATCCAAAGGGGCTCTAGGCTGCCCGTGCCATCATGCAAATAACAAAGTTTTAACCACAATTATAGCCCATAGGCTTAGAGCATGTTTGGGCTAGCTGATTATAAATAAGTGATAAGTTTAAGTTCTGAAATTGATTTTATGAATAAACAATGTACATGTATGGACAGAGTTGTTGAAACAGGTAATAAACAGTTGATATGTGTGGTAAAAAGTACGGATAAATTTTTTTCCATCAAAATGACTAAAATACGCTTGAATTTTTTACAAAAAATTATAAAATGTAAAAGAATATTTGTAAGAAATATGAGGAATGACAAATATAGAGTGGAGAGGAAGTTGGGAACTTTGTTTCGGGAAAGATATTTTGAGACAACAACAACAACTACTACGCCTCAATCCCTAATAAAGTTGAAAATGATATTTTGACAACTAAAAAATAATATGAAGGACAAAAATATGATGTTCACCGATTTAGAGGAAACATATGGTAGAGTATCACGAAAGGTCCTTTGGTGGGTGATGAGAAGAAAAGAATTCATATTAAATATATACATGTCATAAAGGATATGTATAAAGGGGTTGTCACTAGTGTGAAGACCATAATACGAGATACAAAAGAGTTTCTCGTACCAGTGGGTCTACACACTAAGGATCACTAAGGATCGACATGGAGCCCCTATTTTTTACCCAAGTTATGGATGAGCTAACCAACACAACACAAGATGAGAACTATAGTGTTTTCTATTTGCTGATGATATTGTGTCATTTGATGAAACTAGTGAGGGTGTCAACCAAAAGCTTGAACTACATAGAAGTACCTTACTAAGTAAGAGTTTTAGAATAAGTAAAAGTAAGACCGATTACACGCATTGCAAGTTTAGTCAGCGTGAGAAGTTAAGGTGGGACTAGAAGGGTTTGCTGTCCCAAAATGCTAACAATTTGGATATCTTGATTCATTGTTTCAAGAGATGGGAATGATGATGAAGATGTTCGTAGGATTAAAATCAAATGGTTGAAATGCAAAAGTGCTATTAGGGTGTCATGTGATGAAAGAACACCTCTTCCAAAGTGAAAGGTAAGTTCTATAGAATAGCTATAAGACCGACATGATATATGGTAGCGAATGTTGGGCCGCTAAAGTTTAACATATTCACAATATGAGTGTTGCAGAGATGCGGATAGTTCGATGAATATCTAATCATAAAAAGATTAGATAAGATTAAGAATGACCACAGTTGCCAGAAGGTGCAAGCAGGATGCATTGAGGATAAAATTAGAAAAGGCCGCTTGAGATGGTTTAGTCATATATTGCGTCGATTTATAAATGCACAGGTTCGTAGTGTTATCAAAGGTGACAAACGTAAAAAAGTTGTAAGGTCTATTGGGGCTTTAAGTGCAAAGCACAAATAAGGCATAAGCTTTAATAGAGAAAGGCGCAAATGGAAAAAAATTATAAATGTGTATGTATAGTCTAAGACTAATATCTATAAGCATGAATACCAAATATATGAACAAAGAAATTGAAAAAAAATTACAATAAAGTGAAATATCAATTGTTGATTTTCGCCTCTTCAGGATTACGCTCATTGGCAAGGAAATATATGCATTAGGGCCTTGATGACAATACTGAAGTCCCCACAGAGCGAGGCGAAGCGCTCAACATGTTTTGAGCCTCGCTTCAGGGTTTAAGCGCACTTCAAGTGTGCCTTTGATAACACTGCCGGTTCGTAGGTTTGGAGTAATGGTGAATGAAGATGTTTAAGGGGAATGGGATAGACGTAAAATCACATGGAAGATAATTGTCTTGAGAGACTTACCGGTCCTTAGAATCATTGCAAATTTTGCTAAAGATATGATACAATTATGGAAGAAAAAGATCAATCTAGGTGATATCTACTACTTGAGAATAAGGTATAGACTAATATTATTATTATTATTATTATTATTATCATTATTATTATCATTATTATTATTATTATCATTATTATTACTATTATTATTATTATTGTTATGTACAATTTATTTTTTTCACTTTTATTTTATTTAGTATTTACTATTTAGTATGATGATTATATGAGTTGAGCTTAGAAGCGAGGATTCATATAAACGACGCCAACTTGGTTGGGACTGAGGCTTAGTTATTGTTGTTGTTGTTGTTTTGTAAGGATAAAATAGTAAAAATTACCTACAAACCAAAAGTGCTTATAAGCTCAAAAGTTTTATGTTGGGTTGACCAAAGATTTTTGTTGTTTTTGACTTTTTAAGTACTTGGCTTATAAGCACTTTATGTGTTTACCAAATACAGATAAATCAAAATGTACTGTTAAGCTAGTTTGACCAGTTTATAAGCTCAGCCAAACACCCTCTTAATCATATCAAGAGAGGTGTCATCATGAGGCGAATATCTGCTCATTCCAAAACTAATATCTACCCGCAAGTGGTCATGGAGCTTCTTAAGACTACAGTAATATGAATTTGAGATAGAACATAACCCCACAATGTCAAAGAAAGGAAGAACAGAAGGTACCAAGGGTGGCCCTTCCCTAAAGCAGGTAAAGCATTTGCTTTAGGCCCCACGTTTGTGGGGGGCCCATTTTTCGTTACACTTAATAGGCTATACAACAACAACAACATACCCAGTATTATCCCACACCGTGGGGTCTGGGAGGGTAGTGTGTACGCAGACCTTACCCCTACCTTTTCTTTTAAGAGGCTGTTTCCGATGGACCTTCGGCTTAGGAAAGCACGAGCACCATATTAATGAAAAAATAGACAAGAAGGAACTGTACCAACAAGCCATATAAAAGCAGAATAAAAACAACAAGATAATAAGGTGATCAACAATGAAAGAAAACAACGGTTAGTCATAAAAACCTATTACAAACAGAAAGCGAGACTGTGTGACTGCGTGCCAATACTACTGTTATGAACATTCTAGACTACCTACTCTACTACCCTAATCCTCCACCTCCATACCTTCATATAGGCTATATATAAGTTAAAAAGAAAATTTATCTGAAGTAAAAATGTTTGATTTTTTTCTTTAACAAATATAGAGAAGAAAGATTTGCAATTGCTATGATTTCTATCAAGGAAATTGCATTTGAAATGAATATTGAACCCGAATTTCGTAAGAAACATGTGCTATATTGGAAGAAACAATGTGATGAGAATGTTGATAATGAAATCTCAAAATCTCTCGAAGAGTCTTTTAGAATTGATTACTTTTTATACATAGTAGACAAGGTTATTTTTTCACTTCAAAATAGATTTGAATAATTCGAAGCATATGAAAATATTTTTGGTTTTCTATGTAGCGGTAAAAAAACTCAGATCACTAGATGATGGAAATTTGAAAAAATATTGACTTAATTTTGAATGTTCCTTAAAGTATAATGATCAATTTGATATTGATCATTTAAATTTATTTTTGAATTAAAAGTGTTAAGAAAAATAGTACAATTAGAAGATGACAGTTTAATTGATATACTCAATCAAATAAAGGATTTGATTCTTTTCTAAATGCCTATATTGCTTGTAGAATAATGTTAATAACTCTTGTTATTGTTGCTTCGACGAAAGAAGTTTTTCAAAATTAAATTTGATAAAATCTTACCTAAGATTAACAATGTCTCAAGAGAGGTTAAATGAATTAGTTATATTGTAATTAAGAAAAACTTATTAGGAGAAATTGATTATAAGAAAATTATTAATAACTTTGCATCTTAAAAAAGCTAAAAAAACTAGACTTCAAATAAAAAATAATTATTTTTTAAATTAAAAGATAAGACCCCTCATGAAGTTTGGCTTTAGCCACGAAATTCGTTGGGCTGCCCCTGGAAGGTGCCACAATGGATCAAGTATGGGGTTTACCGCTGAAACTATGGATGTGGTGCTCAACTCTGGTGTTCGAGGCTGACAGAATCTGTATGACATAAAAGCATGGGGCCAGTATAAAATTCAGTTTGTCAAATATACCACCTCTAAAAGTTGAATCAAGTTTTTTAAAGAAAATTTCGCATTTCCAATGTAATGCTTCATATAAGATAAACATTCAAATCATCATTTGAATTTTGAAGACTGTTCAAAACATAAGTGAGCTTGTAAGCCTTGGTGACTCGTCTTGGCACTCAAGTGTCGTTGATACATAATAATTATAATGTATACATCATGATTATGACATGTATACATCATGACATCTGATCACCCTCCCAATCAGTTATTGTTGTACATGCTGTATTACAATAAGTATGTGATAAGGAATGCTAGCAAAATAATGGAGGTAAAAATTGAAGAGAGATGCATTTTTGTTCAAGAAACATTTTTGATCAATAGAAGAGATACTAGTTATAATACCAAATCAGACAGTCGGAATTGCATCTAACCACGCTAACCAACTAATCCTTGTGCTTTGATTCATCAATGTCTACTATCATAAGATAAGAATTGCAGTTCACATAAGCACAACTCAGCAGAGCATTGTTGCTTGTTAGAAGAGAGAGATGCTTCTTTGTAAGCTGTCTATGAACATACACAAGCTATAAGAGACAGTTCGAATTGCACCTACCAAGGGAAAACAACTAATCCTTGTGCTTTGAGATTAGTGTTCCATCATGAACACTATAAATTATGTTTGAGTTACAGAGCCTTGATTGATTTTCCAGCCTCCATTGGTCACTGTTTTGGTATATTTAACATGGCACAGAGGACATAATCTTGAGAAAAAAAAAGGAAAGATTCCTCACTGGATCTCTCCATCCATTCCAATCTCACTCCTTTTTCCACATCTTCTCAGTGATTTCCTTCTTTAAAATGATGACAGCTCCACGAACGTTGATTTTATGTGGTTTACCTATGTATTATTTATGTGAGAAATAGCACGGGAAAACTATATTATTGATGTACATACTGTAACACAAGGATCCCTATATACTCTACACAATACATACTACACCTATTTCAATGTGGGACTAAGCATACTTATAAACATAATTCTAACAGTATGATGAAATGGCAGCAGGGTCTGGAAAACTTATCACGTGGGGTTCTGCAGATGATCAAGGCCAAAGCTACTTGACTTCAGGAAAACATGGGGTATTGTGGCAAATCTTTCTTGTGTGGACTCGTTTATATAGATCACATAAAATTGATGTTGCTATCTTCTTTCATTACTGCATTTATCAAGGAGACTCCAGAGCCATTTCTGCTTCCAACTGATGATCCAGTCGTGAAAGCTGCAGCTGGTTGGGCACATATTGTATCTGTTACAGGTGATATACTGTTTGCCAGTCTTTCTGAGCTGTCAGTCACCCTTCAGCTAATTCAGAATGTTATTTGCAGGAACCTTCTCAATCTCTTTTTCTTTTCTTTTCTTTTCTTTTTTTTCTACTTCAAACCATAAGAAAGATTGCGGAGACATATGCTTATAAAATATTTATATTTCTGTACAGAAAAGAATGATGTATACACATGGGGCTGGAAAGAATGCGTGCCTTCTTCCAAGCTTGTTGCAAATTTCGCTGCTGGAGGAAGTGTTGAAGGGGATGCTTTTCGGAAAGAAAGTTCAGTATTAACTGAGCAAGGTAATGGAAGTTCGGTTTCCAATTTGAACCAGTTAAGATTTTGGTAAGTTCATCTGCATGTTTATCTCTGGAGAGTTAACTAATACTACAAAGACTAATTTTTGCAGAGAGCCCTCAGTCTCAAGGCTCCAAGTTAACTGGTAGTTCAGTCGCTCACCAAGATAATAAAAAAGCTGAAGAAACTGCAAAGAGGAGAAGAACAGTGACAGCTAAACAAGAACTTGAAAGCCCGCCACCTGCTGACGAATCCCTTTCTGCACCACCTTGTATTGTAGAACTGGATCCTGGGGTGAAGATAACCTCAGTTGCTGCAGGAGGGCGCCACACATTAGCATTGTCAGGTAACTTCACTCCTCCATGCATGTTGTAGCCTGTTACTGTCATTTTGAAGTGAGGTCGGTTGCTTTGTGGTTACGCCATATAGTTTTTTAGGTCTTATGAAGTACGAAGATATGGAAGAACTTTAATATAAAGCAAGACACCTGATGCATCATATTTTTGCCGGATTTAGATGTGGGACAGGTATGGGGTTGGGGCTATGGAGGTGAAGGGCAGCTTGGTTTAGGCTCCAGGATTAAAATAGTGGCTACCCCTCATCTTATACCATGTCTGGATACGTCTTCACATGGAGCAGACCGGAGTCTTGGGAGTCCTCAAGGAAGCATTACCCCAGGGAATCAGACACGTAAAGCTTTGGGGAGCTACATAAAGAGAATTGCTTGTGGTGGCCGGCATAGTGCAGTAATCACAGGTTAGCACTGAGTTCAGTTTTAGTACTTCTGCTGACCACATAGGGTACAATATCTTTTAATAAGGACACTTTTCAAATTTAAGTTTCACATTGTGAGAAGAAAAGAAGAAATGTTTTTGGAAATATGTTTAAGTTTTTCAAGTTTGAATGGCTTTGAGTTACTCCGTTTACAACAAAGTCAGACTCCATCTCAAATCATTGTCTTTACTTGTTGCTCCTTGAAGTTAAAATGATACTTCATCCTCGATTATCTTGCTGCTCACCTGGGTATTTGTTTCAATTGTCAGATGCTGGGGTGCTGCTTACATTTGGCTGGGGATTGTATGGGCAGGTGAGTGTTTATATCATCACACTNTCACCATCCAAAGCACAGCAGAGACAAATTGATACATAGGCAACTGTGTTTAAGTGCTTACCGTCCAAAATGTATTTTGGGACGTTTAGCCTCTAAAGTAAGCATCAACTCTCTCAACTAGAGTTCTATTCATGTTTGTTGCCGGAATAGAAAGTCCACACTTGATATCAGTTTTTTTTTCAAACAAGCAGACAATTGTAATCTTGTTAGAAATTGATCTAAAACACCAGAAAATATACACCTGCAATATCAACTTGGTGTGCCTGGTTCACTGTTCACTGCTTTTCTTTATAAGTCCTCTAGTCTCATTCGTTGTATTCAGTGTGGACTAGGTAATACAAACGACGTGCTGAGGCCAACTTGTGTCTCTTCTCTATTGAACACTAGAATAGAAGCCGTGGCAGGTGGACTATGGCATTCTGTGTGCTTATGTGATCATGGCCGTGTGTATACTTTTGGGGGAAATCAGTTTGGCCAATTGGGTCTAGGTACAGGCGCGGACCATGCAGAGGTGCGTCCAAGATTTATCACTTGTTTTGTGTCTTTCTAATAAACTCTTGTTTATGGACTCAACAGTTTCAATGTCCAATAGTAATATCTAGTTGAGGCTGAATTATGATGTCATCTAAGAGTTTGGCTAGTCGTACCATGAGATGTGCCCAGAAGTAGGATTTGTTGAAATCACAGTCCAGAAACTTTCAACCAGCAGTGGTGGCTTTAAATATACCTAGCACTTGAGGAAGAGATTATTGTCAATTTCTGACAGCCAATTAGTTAGACCATATAATTCCCTATATATTTGCAGTTTTGCTGCTGCATTATTCTAAACCTTATTGTTTGAGGGCTCTAGAAACTCAACAGGAGATTTCTGTTACAGACATCACCTAGGCTTGTGGATGACTCAATACTGGAAAACAAGAATGTCAAAGTAGTGTCTTGTGGAGCTCGTCATAGTGCCATAATGACAGGTAAGTGTCGCGACTATCAAGAAGATGAAGTGCATTTCGGCCTCTAATCCACTGGACAACCTGAGTTCTTTTTTTTTTTTTTTTTCATAGAGGACAACTTTAGTTCTCTTAGTTTGATCTCACACACCTATTCCATTTGTGGTGATCTGTGGTGGAGATATTGTTTGCATAACTATGACTAGCTAGTCTTGTCCAAATATATATCTGAATCTTTGGAATTTTATGAGTAGCAAAGTATACTTTTGATGGTGAGTTTGAATATACTTATGTCTTACCCATGTGGTACACCTTTTTTTCCTGTTGGTCATTATCAAATGTGTGTTAAATCGATCAGCTGCGGCAAGAATTAAACAATAGGAAGCAACTAGCACTTAAATGTGTCTATTATTGTGAAACTATTGCTAGTAAAACAATAATATGTCTACTATTGCTAAACTGTCACTAGTAGGGTAACGCGTTAATTTCTCTAATATCCGTTTGCTATATGTTAGTATCTAAAGAAACCTTTTGCTTTAACCTTTAGAGGATAGCAAAGTGTATAGCTGGGGATGGAACAAGTATGGTCAGGTATGTGAAAGATTATTATTCTTTAAGGAATTTTACATGAGTATTCAATCTAACCTGTTGCTTTTTATTCCAGCTTGGCCTAAGTGATACAATTGACCGTAACAATCCTTGTGAAGTACCCATCGATGATTGTACACCAAAAAATGTAGCGTGTGGGTGGTGGCACACACTATTACTTGCTCAAAGCCATCAGTGATCTGCCCAGTATTTGGAGAGAACGTCTGTTGTTTAAGTAACCCACTGACAGTGAATTTGCACAAGATCAGGGAGTGGCATGTGGTCACCTGGATCTATCATAAGTCTCAGGTCCACTTTAAGGATTCCAGAGACATTTGTAGAAATTTTTTTTAGAGTTGCAGTATTTGTTGAACCAATGTACAGTATGTTGAATGTAACATATATTTCACTGGCCTATTGTCTTCGAGTTTAAATCTGATGTATTTCATAGTCTCAACAGGACTTATTTTATGAAGATCTTTATCCTCTTTTGGTATAGACCTGGTGTGACCTATTCTCAAGTTGCATGTTTAGACAATGACTACCTTGGACAATTTATCTTATACAGGTGTAATTTTTCTAGAGTCAGATGATGTGGATGATTATCTTAGCACGTTAAAGAAAAATGTGGCGATCTGAAGAATCATGTAACGCTTCAACGTGGCTGCAGGAGAAGGCGATGACTGGGTCAAAGAGAAGCATTTAAAGCTGCATAGGGGTGTTGAATTAGAAGAGTCTTTTGAAGCTTTTATTTAAGAGCCAAACACTCAGAGTTTTCAAAAATTGGGTAATGATACTCTGTTTTAATTATTTTTAATGACACATTAAAAATTCTAAAGTTTCTTATTTTCTAAAAACTAATGTACTCCTCTTTCTCCCCCCCTCCCCCCTCCCTCCCGCTCCTTCTACGCCCATCTTCCTCCTCCACCGTCGTTTAATGATGTTATGAATTAGGAAGTAGGTGAAAGGGAAAGTAGGTAAAGGCTGTGTAATAAAGTGGGCTGGGCCACTATAGGCGGACAGATCAGAGAATTGGGCCAAGTATGAAGCCCAATTTCGATGACTCTCATTCAGCCCAAAAGGAAATGAATAAATACCATTAGTTAGGTAGAGGAGTTAGGCAATTAGTTGGATAATTAGTTACACTCTCAACCAATTCTTCTCTCTTAATCTTTCTTCTAGATTCTTCTTCTTATTCAATTCTTAATTCCCAATTCTTCAATTCTAGTAGTTGCATGTAACGATGGTGATTACCATTCATTGATATTGAATAAGAGTTCCAGTTTTCCTTTTTGATTCTATAATTGTCATTAAGTGCTAAACTGAATCAAGCCATAACAATTTGGTATCAGAGCAGTATCCTGGTGCCATGACTATTACAGAGACGAGAGCTAAAACAACTGAGGAGAATGTAAAGAAATTGGAAAATCAGTTACAATGACTCAAACATGGATGATCTGAACAGAAAATTTGATGTGATGATGGAGAAACTCTTTTCACACAGGGACGACATTCTGGGGAGTCCACCAGCTGATGGTCTTCAATTGGAAGGTTCTGGAAGCAGAGTGAGAAGAGCAGAACCACCGGAGCAACAGACTGGGCGAAATCTGGTGAACAATTTTGCTTCTAGAGTGGAGTTCCCATACTTTGAGGAAGGAGATCCTCGATCGTGGCTGCGCAAATGTGAAAGGTATTTTCATTACAACCATATTACAGACCCACAACAGAAATTAGAATCAGCTATTCTTCATCTTAATGGGAGGGCTGAGTCTTGGTACTTTTCTTATCAATTGAGTAGAGGGATTGTGAGATGGTCAGATTTTATTGAAGAAATCTGCAAGAGATTTAATGAATATGATAATAGTAACTTGAAGTTGTTGGGGGAGTTTAAAAGGGTAGAACAAAAAGGGACTGTCAATGAATACTTAGAGAGGTTCGAAGATTTGAAGGCCTGGGTGTTGATAAAATACCCAACTATGCCTGTAGAATTTTTTCTAGGGTTCTTTATTGAAGGTTTGAAAGAAGAAATTAGGCACACTGTGAAGATGCTTGACCCATATTCCTTAAGTCATCTGTGGAAAAGGCTAGGCACAATGAGAACTTGATTGATACCATGGCCAAGAAAAATAGGTTCAGTGGAGTGAGGAGTGTAGGGCAGTATCAAGGCTCTAATCTAGCAGCAGGGAACAAAACTGTGGGAAACTCACAAAAAGAAGGCAGTTCTAATACAACTTTATCAGGGACTAAATTGTTTGAAGCTAGGAAAGCAAGGGGTGAATGCTACAAATGTGGAGAAAAGTATTTCCCAGGCCATGTGTGCAAGAATAGGCAGCTGAATACACTACCTGGAAGTACTAAACAAGAGGAAGAAATTACAGAGCTAAGTACAGAAGGTGGGACTATGCCTAATGGGATGATGGAAGAGATATTGGATGAGGCCATCAGTTTCAATGCACTTTCAGGCACCATAACTTCTACTACCATTAAGCTTAGAGGGCTGTATGGGAAGAACATGTTGACTATATTAGCAGACAGTGGAAGCACCAACAGTTTCATAGCTAGTGAGACTGCCAAACACCTAGGGTGTATAGTTAAAGATGATGTACCTATGAGGGTAGCTGTGGCTAATTGGGGCTACCTGATGAGTTACCAATCTTGTCCTCAATTTAGCTGGAAGACTCAAGGGATAGATTTTGAACACAAGCTAAGGTTACTAGATATTGGGGGATGTAATGTGGTCTTGGGGGTGGATTGGATGAGAAAACATAATCCCATTCTATTTGATTTCATTGAATACAAGTTACACGTGAGTGTGAAGGGGAAAAGAGTGGACCTTAAGGGATATTCTGAAGAAGGGAAACTCCATAGAATGACAGCTGGTGGAGTGAAACAACTTCTCAAAAAGGGGAAGGTGCTGTGGGCTCATTTATTTACAATCACTACTAAGAATGCTGAAATACAAGGGAACATACCTCAAAGGATCAGTGGAGTGCTAGAGGAATTTCCAGATGTGTTTGAAGAACCAAAGACTTTGCCAGCACAGAGGAGCCATGATCATTCCATTCCTCTCAAATCTGATGCAACAGCAGTGAGTATTAGACCTTACAGGTATAATCACTTTTAGAAAAATGAAATAGAAAAGCAAGTCAATGAAATGTTAAATAGTGGAATTATACAGCCTAGTCATTCTCCTTTTTCCTCACCTGTACTATTAGTGAAGAAAAAGGATGGGAGTTGGAGGTTCTGCATTGATTATAGAGAGCTAAACAAGATGACCATAAAGGATAAATTCCCTATACCTTTAGTAGATGATTTGATGGATGAACTTAAGGGATCTTGTATATATTCCAAGATTGATCTAAAGGCTGCGTATCATCAAATTAGGATGGAGAGGTCTGACATCTATAAAACTGCATTTAGGACACATCTGAGACACTATGAGTTTAAAGTCATGCCTTTTGGCTTGACAAATGCCCCTGCAACCTTTCAAAGTCTGATGAACCATGTTTTCAGACCTTTTCTAAGAAAGTTTGTCCTAGTTTTCTTTGATGACATCTTAGTTTACAGTCCAACAGTGGACATCCATGTAGATCATCTTAGACAAGTCCTACAAGTTTTACAGAAGGAAAAACTCTATGCTAAACTGTACAAGTGTGCCTTTGGGCAAGATAAGGTGGAGTATTTGGGCTATATTATCTCTGGTCAAGGGGTAGCACTGATCCTGCCAAGATAGACTCTATGATGAATTGGCCTACACCTAAGTCAATCAAGTCACTTAGGGGATTTCTAGGTCTTACAGGTTACTACAGAAGATTTGTGAAGTCCTATGGCATTATTAGTAGGCCATTAACCAACCTACTTAAGAAGAATTCATTCCAATAGAATGAAGAGGCAGAAGAGGCTTTTCAGAATCTGAAGAAGGCCATGTCCACGGCACCTGTCCTAGCATTTCCAGACTTCACCAAAACCTTTATTGTAGAGACAGATGCATGCTCTACAGGAATGGGAGTTGTACTAATGCAAAAGGACAAACCTATAAGTAAGGCTTTGGCTACTAAGAATAGGGGATTATCTACCTATGAAAAAGAGTACATGGCAGTCCTAACAGCAGTGGATAAATGGAGACATTACTTACAATGTGGCCATTTCATTGTGAGAACAGATCACCAGAGCCTTAAATACTTATTAGAGCAGAAGGTCACCATAGTGTTGCAACAAAAGGGTCTCACTAAACTTTTGGGGCTTGACTATGAAATTCAGTACAAGAAAGGTTCTGAAAACAGGGCAGCTGATGCTCTATCCAGGAGACAAGAAGATTCTGACAGCTCAACCTTATTGGCTATTTCCACTACACAACCTGCTTGGCTAGAGGAAACTAGTCAATCCTATGAAGGTGATCCTAAGGCTACTCAGATATTGGCTGAACTGATAGCAACTTCCTAGAGCAATTCAGACTATACACTACACCAAGGGATAATTAGGAACAAACAGAAGATATATGTAGGGAAGGGAAACACATTGAGGAGGAAAGTGTGGGAAGCATTGCATCAATCACCAGTGGGGGGACACTCAGGACAACAAGGTACTTACAAGAGGTTACAGATGAACTTTTATTGGCCAAATATGAAGGCAGACAGTTGCAAATGGGTCAGTGAATGTGACATATGTCAAAGGGTGAAATCAGAAAATGTGCATTATCCTGGGTTACTACAACCTCTTCCTATTCCTGAACAAGCATGGCAGGACACCACTATGGATTTTGTAGAAGGACTTCCTACTTCAAATCAGAAGAATGCAGTTTTGGTGGTGATTGATAGATTCACTAAGTATGGTCATTTTTTGCCTCTTAAACATCCTTTTACAGCAGGATGTAGCAGAATTATTTCTCAAGGAAATTTATAGATTGCATGGCATTCCTAGATCCATAGTGTCTGATAGAGATCCAGTTTTCACTAGCCACTTTTGGCAGCATCTCTTCAGATCTATGGGCACCAAACTCAATTTAAGCTCATCTTATCACCCTTAGAGTGTGGCCAAACGGAGAGACTCAACAGGTGTATGGAAACTTACCTAAGAGCTATGGTCTTTGATAATCCTAAAACGATGGGTTAAGTGGCTTCACATGGCAGAGTGGTGGTACAACACCAACTACCATAGTGCTTTAAAGATCACATCTTTTGAAGCATTATATGGGTATGCACCTCCCCAGCTACCACTGGGCTCATTACCTAGTTCTGGGCAGACTATGGCAAGTATGAGTCTAGCACAACAACAGCACATGGTGCAGACACTTAAGGACAACCTAACTCGAGCACAATCACGCATGAAATTCTTTGCTGACAAATCAAGGTTAGAAAGAACTTTGGAGGGGGGGGGGGATTAGGTCTATCTTAAGCTACAACCGTATAGACAATCATCAATAGGGGTTCGTAAGAATGTTAAGTTGTGTGCTTGTTATTTTGGTCCTTACAAGATATTGAAGAAAATTGGAACAGTGG